CTAGAGCCCTCTGGAAGTTGATTAAATAAGTTCCTTAGAAACCACACACACAAAAAAGCAAAAATAAAGCTCTTAGAAACATAAAATCTATGCTGATTCTAAATGTTAGGCTTTTAAAACAGAGGCGCGCCTAACCTCTCAGTACAAAGGTAAAATAGGCGAGCTCTTACTGATTGTTTAAGCACTCAGTGATAGCTGTGTACAAATCTCTGTACAAGCTACAAATCTCCCAAAGTATATTTCTACAACCCAAGTTACTCTTCAGAAACATTTCCTAGGGTTGAAACAAAAATAATTATAGGAAGTAGTAATTCTATTTAAGTTGCTGGAGAGCCAAATTACTTTTCAAAGATCAGCTCTAAACCTCACATCTTAGCGAACCTCAGGTGTAGCAAAGTTTTAACCACTTCAAATCAATACACTCACATCAGACCATGGTGTGGGGTTTCTGGAAATTATTTTTATTTCTAGAAAAAGAGTGAAAACAAATCATATTCAATTTGCCACCTGAGCCAAGAGGAACATGAACCTAAGTTACTTTGCTGGTTTGAAGTCATTTAAAATTCATCATTTCTTTTCTGCTCTTGTTTGTGGAAGGCCACCAATAGGAAAAGTATGGGAAAAAAATTCTTATTATTTCCTCCTCCAAACTAGGAAGAAAAAAGTAAATATTTAAGGAAGAAGTAATTGAGTATTAGAAAAAATATTTTATAGCACTTTACAGATTCCAAAATGTTCCACATAGTCAAAATCATTCTTTCAGCACTTATCATGAGCCTACTCTACCGGCGACATTCCAGGTTTATCGAGAGAAGTCTGCTTCTCTTGGGAACTCTCAGTAGTGGGTGAGGCAGCTACACTAATGAAAACCATTTGAAGAACCACAAGAGAAATATTTTTACAAAGATTTATGGGAGCTTTTGGTTAATGATTTTTGGAAGTAGTTGGGACACATAATCACTTCTTTGTAACCTGACCTCTTTCCCTGTGCTTCCAAAATATTTTGGTTTTGAGGAAAATATAAATTAAGTATTTCTCTTACTAGATAAAAATAAAAGTCATGGCTCAAAATTGTAACATTTCAATCTTTTTTTTAATATTTATTTTTTAGTTGTAGTTGGACATAATACCTTTATTTATTTATTTTTATATGGTGCTGAGGATTGAACCCAGCACGTGCTAGGTGAGTGCTCTACCGCTGAGCCACACCCCAGCCCCCATTTCAATCTTTAAGTAAAGGGAAATAGAAGCATTAAGAATATGACTCAGGGGTTGGGGCTGGGGCTCAGTGGTAGCGCACTTGCCTGGCATGTGTGAGGCACCAGGTTCATGAGGCACTGGGTTCAATCCTCAGCACCACATAAAAATAAAATAAAGGTATTGTATCCACCTACAACTAAAAAAATATATATACATATTTAGAAAAAAGAATATGATATAAATAAAGATAAAATCAACACATTTAAATATTTGTGTCCTACAGGAGAGATCCCATATGATGACAAAGTTGATCTCAAGAACAATTAAAGAATGGGGAGTTTACAAGATTTAGAGGAATATTAAAGTAAGGGCTGAGCATGTAGTGCAGTGGCACAGAACTTTCCTAATGTGTGCAAGGCTCTGGGGTTTTTTAATTGCCAGCAATTTTTAAAAATAAGGAACAGTAGAATAAGATTTCTAGCTTGGAGGGAGGAAAGAGCAGAAGTTCACTGGATTAGACGAAGGGGAATGAAAGGAAGGGAGAAAGGATGGGAATGGGAAAGACAGTAGAATGAATCGGACATAACTTTCCTATGCTCATATACGAATACATGACCTCAGTGAAACTCCACACCAGGTACAACCACAGGGATGGGATCTAATTAGAATAAGTTATACTCCATGTGGTATAATGTATCAAAATACATTCTACTGTCATGTATATCTAAACAGAACAACCATAAAAAAAGATATCTAGCTTAGCCATACACCTGGCTAATAGCCTACAAAGTAGTAAAAACATAACTTTTGTGGTGATCCTGTCTACCAGAAAGAAATCTACAAATTAATGTGTAACTTCATACTATCCGGATTCTAATCACACAGTAGATAGCCAATTCAAACACCTGTAGATTGTCCTGAGACTGAAATCATGGGCGGGCCACTGAACAAAGGCCCAGCCTGACTTTGTCAGGACATGTCTCCTCCCCCATGACACCTTATTTCTAAGTTTTGGATTTTCCTTTCTTTTTGTTTTTGTTTTTGATCACAGTGGCATGGTTATGACCCTAGACATACTGGTTGGGTTCCTGGTTTTGGGCCTAGGAGCCGGATGTACTAGCTACACTGAAGTCTTTAAAATGATGTACTGATGAGGGAGGAACTGAGTGATCTTGGGAAGCTTCATGGAGCAGAGGATCAGAGAGCTACATCTTTAAATATGAATTGTTTTTTAAAGATGAGAGGTCATTAGAGAAATATGATCAAAGAATCATTTGGGCTGGGCATGGTGGAGCACACCTGTAATCCCATCAGCCCAGGAGGCTGAGGCAGGAGGAGTACAAGTTCAAAGCCAGCCTCAGCAATTTAGTAAGGCCCTGAGAATAATGTCTCAAAATAAAAACATAAAAAGGCCTGGGGATGTAGCTCAGTGGTAAAGCACCCTGGGTTCAATCCCCAGTACCTCAAAAGAATAATAATGATAGTTCAAAAGTCATTATTCTAAGGTCCAGTTATTGCTCTAGAGGCTCTTAGTCCCCCACTGGGAGCCCAAGTCTACTGATGAGTTTCCTTAAGTGTCTGTGTCTTCTTTCTATAGCTTTTCTCTCTCTCTTTTCTACTACTTGCTTACCTCTGCCTTTGGTTATAATTTCTGCTTTGCTCTTATTTGCTTGCAATTAGCAGAGGAACATCATAACAGGCTCTTGGTGAGAGTACCCAAAGGACTCTTCCCTTCCACCCCCAGCACTGGGGATTAAACTCAGGGGCGCTTAGTTGGTAAGGCTAACCTGGAACTTGCGATCCTCCTGCCTCACTTCTGGAGTTGCTCAGATTACAGCTGTGCCCCAGCATATCCAGCTGAGGTTAAATTATTTTTAATACCTTCTAAGATGGAAAGGAAATACGTAATACATTTTAATGTGATTTTCACCACAGTGATTAAAATAAGTTTGGTGATTAAAATAATAAATTATGCTTTTCTTTGGTGGTTCTATATGAAATATGCTCTTTATTCTTCTTTGGAAATTAATTTTAATAGGAAAACAAAATTATAAATTAATAGAGACATGTGACTTTTAAACCAAAGCAGAAAGCAGTTTAGTGAAAAGTGTGACAAAACTTTATGTCAATTGTTAGGCTACTTAGTCCCTTAAACCAGAAAAAGCATCCCCTGACCAATACTGACATCTCCAGTCTGTCAGGTTGGCAAGATACTATGATTTTTGTTAGCCTTGTTAACGATGGCTATCAGATAAGCTACAATCATAGACAAAATAGTATCTACTAGCAATGCCACAAAACAACAGGGCTCTTTACCTATACTCTTCCTTTAAAAAATAAACTAAGTTTTGACATAGCTTGAAATCAAACATTAAACAGAAATATTTTCTTTCACCTCATTTGAAAATCATAGAGTAAGGCACAAAGTGGTCTCCTCTAGTTAAAAGTAATCTAATTTACTCAAGACCAAATTACCAAAGTAGAAAAAATAATGATGGTAAAATAAAATTATCTCAAATCCATGAAATTATAGTATATAAATAAATCTCTTTTAACAGCTAAAAGATTTATTTTCAGACTATAATATATTCTCTTTTCTGTCATTTAACTTTTTTTCCCTTAAAAAAGAAATTCAGGAAGAAGAGTACCTAAGCTTTTCATTCGGTTAATTCATTTGTCCAAAGATTACAGTTCTAATGATATATCGTACTAAATCTAAATTAAATGTTTAATGGACACTTAAATGAATATGTTAAGGTAGATTAATCAAATTCATTCTTTACTTGACATGGTGAATTACTATGCCTTGAAATCTTCCAAGTATGTAATTTGTAGAAAATAAAAAATATATAGGTATAGGCATTGTTAAGCCAAATATCCAGAATTCAAATTCAAGTGCATATTTGTAAATCAGTTTTTTTAAAAAAAAAACTTACTGGCACTTTAACCAAGATTTTATCACCTTTTATTTATTTTTTTTTTTGGTACTGGAGATTAAACACAGGGTGCTTAACCACTAAGCCACATCCCCTAGGTTCAATCCCCAGTACTACAAAAATAAATAAATAAATAACCCCAAACAAAAACAACACCCTAAATTATTATTATTTTTTTTGGGGGGGGGGTCATCAGTCACATCAATTTTATTTGCTTGGTAAAGATGTTTGGAAGTAGTTACATTTATTTATTTATTTTTTATCTTTAAAATTAGATTTATTTATCCAAATTAACACCCTAAATTATCTCATTTATATCCTTTACCTAGAAATTCCATCTTCTAAATACAACACAGTCAAAAAAATTAGAGAATTTAAGAACTATAAGAATCTTCCAGGGACAGCCAGTATAGAGGGATCCCAAACTTTAATTTGCATCAGAAGTTGTCATGATCTTTGTTAAAATGCAGGTGGACAGGTCTAATTCCACCCCTCTGACTCCACAGGCCTGGGATGGAGCCTACTGAGCTTCCTACTGAAATAGCTAGTGCAAGATGACTGTCATGTAGGTCGTCTATAGGTCATTGGGAGGACCAACACTCCTGTAGTCCACCCCACCTCCTCCATAAGCCAGGAGTCCCCTTGAACTATATCCCATTGAGACATTTTCTGCCTCAAATTATTCCTTCTTTAATGCCTGGAGGTAGCTCACTGCCTCCTAGGGCAGTACATTATACATCTAATGGAAGCTTCTAATAGGAATCTATATATTCAAAACACAAAGTCATTCAACATGGGCATACACAAATATGACAGTACAAAAACACAGAAGACACTGAAGAATCAAATGCATGAAGAACTGACCTGCTTATTCTGGTATTTGTTTATCAGATTCAAAAATAAGGCATAACATCTGGAATAGTTGGCCAAGGCTGCACAGCTATCACGATAAGTAGTTAGTTTGCTGCAGAAATGCCAAATGGGAAAATAAAAATTAAATGTTTTCCTATAAAATTCAGGAAGACATAATATCACATTAACCTTAGCCCTTCACAGTTACCCAGTTCATTAAAAGGAGTCTACAAATACTCCACGCACCAGCCTAGAGAAGCTGTAAAGAGACTTGATGTCAACTCTATATTCTGGGGATATGGAGCAAGGAAATTAAAAAATAAATAAATAATCAAACAAATAAACAAACAAATAAAAAGGTCCTTTGAAAAACAGAAGAAGACTGAAGACTGTAACACATCTACATGAGCAATGTACAACTGCTCTAATATACCAGGCTAGTAGTGCTCTGCTATCAGTAAAAGTAGACCTTAAGGTAAAAGATCTTTAAAATGGCTTTAAAATTTCTACAGCAAGCAAGTGAGCAAACAAAATCCACAAGGCAATACCAACAAACCCACATCAAATTGGGAGATGTTCATAAATTTCTTACTAATTGATAGATCAATAGAACAATGTCAGTCATACTTTCAAAATTTGACCATGTAGCAGGCTATAAACAAATCTCAGTAAATTTTCAGAGAACTAGTATCTTAATAATACTCTCTGATCATAGTACACTTAAGTTACAAAGCAATTTTCAAAATATATTTTAAAAATATTTTTAGAAACATATAACTAATGGATCAAAGAAATAAGAATACCTAAAAATATATCTGAATAATAACAAAAATATTACAAGTCAAAATTTGTAGAATGTAGCTAAAGCCGTGTTCAAAGGATAAGAAGACTAAAAAGAAAGATGAGTTTTTAATACAGAAGAAAAATATACCCATAGAAGTTAGAAGAAAGGGATTAATAAGGATAAGAGCTGAAGGAATAAGATAGAAAACAAACAAACAATAAATGGATCAATAAATCTACTGATTTTCTGTAAAAACTAATAAAACTGACAAACTTTTGGCAAGACTTATCAAGAAAAAAGATAAATATTAATCAAAATTAGAAATAAAATCAGTATTAAAAATGAAGAGCAGTATAACATATTTGTTAAAAGTATGAATTCTAGAGCCAGAATAACCTGTTTGATTTGTTGTCCTACAACTCACTGTGTGATTTTAGGAAAACTACTGATCTTTTCTGTGCCTCAGTTTCCTCATCTGTCAAATGAAGACAGCAATATCTTATCTATCCTCTGCTCCAGTCCTGGAATTGAACCAGGACCTCACGCATGCTAGGCAAGTACTCTACCATTGAGCTGCACCCCCAGCTCTTTTTTAGTTTGTTCTGAGACAGGGATGTACAAATTTGCACAGCCGGGCCTCAAACTTGAAATCCTCCTGCTGCAGTCTCCCCAACAGCCAGAATTACAGGCCTACCCCAACACACCTGCTTATAATGGAACCTATCTTAAAAAGTTGATATAAGGCCAGGTGCAGAGGCAATGCCTGTCATTCCAGTGACTGTGGAGGCTGAGACAGAAGATTCATAGGAAATTTAGAAATTTAGCAAGATCCACTGTGGAACCAACCTAGATGCCCTTCAGTGGATGAGTGGATAAAAAAAAAAAATGTGACATATACACAATGGAATATTACTCAGCAATAAAAGAGAATAAAATCATGGCACTTTCAGGTAAATGGATGGCATTGGAGAAGATAATGCTAAATTAAGTTAGCCAGTCCCAACAAACCAATGCTAAATGTTTTCTCTGATATAAGGAGGCTGATTCGTAGTGGGGTAGAGAGGGGGAGCATGGGAGGAATAGATGAACTCTAGGTAGGGCAGAGGGGTGGGAGGGGAAGGGAGTGGGCAGGGGGTTAGCAATGATGGTGGAATGTGATGGACATCATTATCCAAAGTACATGTATGAAGACACGAATTGAACTCAACATACTTTATATACAACAAGAGATATGAAAATTGTGCTGTATATGTGTAATAAGAATTGTAATGCATTCTGCTGTTATTTATTTTTTAAAATCAATTTAAAAATTAAAAAATAGGATATATATTTGTTATTTGAATGGAAGCTACTAAAAATAATAAAGTAAATTTAAAAAAAAAGAAATTTAGCAAAATCCTTAACAACTTAGGAAGACCCTGTCTCAAAATTTTAAAAAAATATTAAAGGATTAAAGATGTAGCTCAGTGCTAAAGTGACCCTAGGTTCAATTCTTAGTACCAAAAATAGAAACAAACAAACAAAAAACCAAGTTGATGTAAGGATAAAATGAATTAGTATTTGGAAAATTCTTTTAAAGTATTGCCTATCATGTACTAAGTATCCAAGTATCAAATATGTAAAGTAAATGAAAGATGCAACAGATACTAAAATGATGATAAGTAGAGTATTTTTGAACTCTATATTGTTTGAAAACTTAGAAAATTGTACAAAATCCTATAAAATTTTAACTATTTATTTATTTTGATACTGAGGATTGGACCCATGGGCACTCTGCCATTGAACTACATCCCCATCCCTATTTATTTTGAGACAGAGTCTTGCTAAGTTGTTCAGGCTGTCCTTGAACTATAATTCTCCTGCCTCAGCCTCCTGAGTTGCTGGGATTACAGGCATGTGCTACCATGCCATGCTAAAAAATATGACTTTTTAAACTGAGCCAAGGAGAAATAAAAATATCACTAGATATGCAGAAACTGAATTAGCCAGCTGCAGTGGCACATGCCTCTAGTCTGTACGTGCTTTTCAAAAAATAGATAAATTTAAAGGGGCATGGTGGTGCATGCCTATAATCCCAATGGCTTGGGAGACCGAGGCAGAAGGATTATAAATTCAAAGCCAGCCTCACAATTTAGCAAGGCCTGGATGGGGATATAGCTCAGTGGTTAAGCACCCCTGGTTCAATCCCTGGTACAAATACATAAATAAGCTTAATTTTCATAAATTCTTCTAGAAAAGAGAAATTGGAATACTTCCCATTATGAGGCAGGTATAAACTTGACACGAAAAACAAACAATAATGTAGGAAAGGAAAAGAAAAGATCAACTTGACTCATGACCAGAGATGAAAAATCTCTGATTAAAACATTAGTTAACCAGACCCATCAATATATGATGGCCTACTAATATGAGAAAATCTTAATGTAATTTACTAGATTAATAGATTGAAAAAAGTAAATCTATGTATCCAAAATAGAATCAGGGCAAGCATTTGAAAAAACCTTGCTTAATGAGAAAGAATCTTTCCAGAACTTTCTTAAAAGTATCTATAAAAATCTACAAGAAACATCATTTTTCACTGGTGAGACCATAAAAATAATTCATTTAAAGTCAGGAAAACCTGCTGTGGTGGCTCAGGCCTATTACCCCACTATCAAAGAGACTGAGGCAGGAGGATTATAAGTTGCCCAGCCTCAGCAACTGTCTTAAAATAAGAGACCCTGTCTTAAAATAAAAATAATAAAAAGGGCTGGAGATGTAGCTCAGTGGTAGAGAATCCCTGGGTTCAAATAAAAGAAAAAATATCCTAAAGTTCTTATCATAGACTTACTGATTTTCTCAGTTCATAAGGAAGAAAAAAGAATGAGTCTGGATCTTAAAAGAAAAAAAGTGAGAGATTCATCTTTTAGCAAGATTCAAATTAAATCTATAATAGTAAAAGCAATGTAGCACTTACTGGTCTGAGGATGGACCAAATAGAATGCCCAGAAACAGACCTGCAGTAATTTGGAAACATATAAATGACTGAAAATCCATGAGAAAAGGACAGCATATTAAAAAAGATGCTGGACAACAGACCATCCATCCACATGGAAAAAAAATTAACTTGGACTCCCTATATGCCACCATCCACAAAACATAAACTCTTTGCAATTTTACAATGCTTCAAAATGGGAGTAATTAAAGATCCAGAACAAAGTTCAGGAAAGAAATAAAATCTGGACTCAATAGCCTCATACTGGGGTCAATTACCAATCTGGTCTTCAGGAAATTTAATAGTTAAAGATAGTACCAGGTTTCTTGAGAAAAATCATTATATTAAAATGCTGGCAAATAAAAGTAAGGGAAAAAATACAAATATGTAATTTAAAGACAGCTCTGAAATTCAACAACATCTTGTTTTGAGACAACCTGGATATAAATGACCATCCTGTCTGGAGTAAAGTACAGACATGATTAGTGGAAGTGTGAACCAAAGTTCAAACCATTGGAATAAAATACAAAATCAGATCACACTTGTAACAGATGAACTGTGAAATATTATTTCCAGGTATACTAGGAAGTTCGCCATCTATCGTGGTACACAGAAATAAACAAGAACATTAGGGATAGCTCACAATTCACCAAAGAACTAAAATGACCTACATTTAGCGAATACAGAGTGGCAAGACAATCACACAGGAAACAGAATCCATAAATCATGTATTCTAAATTTGGACCCACCGGATTTACTTTTTCTGCTAGGGGAAATAAAAAGCAAAAAAAGACAAAAAAGAATTCCCTGACAGTCACACACTCAAACATTGCAAATAATACGAAACCCAAGCATTAGCATTTTTGTAAGGCTACTTCATTCTCTTAGTCTACCTACCTGAATATTCTGGCAATATTGGTACAGACGTCCTTGTCATCCATGTACCGCTCCATCACTGTGCAGAGCTGGGGAAGGGTGCTGATGCTCAAGAACTTACTTCTTGCTAGCGGTGAATCAACCAAGTTTCTCAATGTAGCAGTTGCCTAGGATAAAAGCATGTTTGCACTATTTTTTATTTTATTTTTTTTGTAGTGGGGATTGAACCCAAGAACACTTAGCACTGAGCCACATCCCCAGTCCTTTTTTATTTTTTATTTTATTTTGAAACAGGATCTCTCTAAGTTGTTTAGTGCCTCTTGAAACTTTGTGAGGCTGGCCTTTAAGTTGAGATTCTCCTGCCTCAACCTCCTGAGTTACTGGGATTACAGACGTATGCCAGGTGGCTGTGCCATTTTTTAAAACTGGAAAATATAGCCATGCTAATTATCTAACAAGGCACAATCCACTCCATAAATTTCATTGTATCAATCAGTAGGTAAACCAAGTCCCTGTTATGATTCTCCCATTAGAGAATATGGGTCTAGGCACAATAGCATGAAATAAAAACAAAGCAAGCCTAATTGGGTTCAAAGGTAAAGAATGGAATAATAGGCTGTGGGCTGGTGGGCTAGAGGGATGGTCAATGAGGAAAAAGACCGGATGTTTGAGGAGGAAAATGAAGAAATTGGGGGAGGTACAGAAGGTAGACAGACTGAAAGATATTTTTTTTCTAAAGAATTACGATGTGTGATGTATGGGTTTGGGGATGACCAGAATCCTTACACTGAGTCAGTGGATATTCTTGAAGACCTTGTAATAGAGTTCATCACTGAAATGACTCACAAGGCAATGTCAATTGGAAGACAAGGTCGAGTACAAGTTGAAGATATCGTCTTCTTGATTCAGAAGGACCCAAGGAAGTTCGCTAGGGTTAAAGACTTGCTTACCATGAATGAAGCATTGAAACAAGCTAGAAAAGCATTTGATGAAGCAAACTACAGATCTTGATAATTTTTGTACTTCATGGAATTTCATTATCTTCTGTGGAAATCATATATAATAATTGTGTATTTTGTACAGTAATATCCTACTATCTAGGCATGTAAATGAAAGATGGAGAAACAAAGTTTTCAGCCTTTAATTTCATGTCTTTGATTTTAGAGTGATCCTTGAGCCTTTAATTGCCTGCCTTTACATGACCACACTTGAATTACTTACTGAGTTTTAATGACTACATGTAGTTAAAGTACCTTACAAATTATGTGGTTCCTTCTGACTTTTGACTATCTAAAGGATGAAGTAGTATTTGTTACGTATATTTGTGCCATTATAAGCTATACTATAGCTGTTTAATATATGAAATCTAAATGTCATTTTGACTATGACTGCTGAGACATATGCCTTACATACATATTTTGAAGTTTTTAGACAACAGTAGTCTGAGATGTTATTAAAGATAGTAAACTGGTTTTTCTTTTAAGGAGATGATATTTGAAACTACAAGTTTTTGTAAGAATGTTTATGTGTCTTAAATGATAATTTGTTTTAATATTTTCTAAATAGTGATTTTTTATTTTTATTTTTCTAGAAACTTAAAGTTTCATGTTGATGCTTCCATGTTGAAAGACTTTTTTGATTTAAAACCTTTTGGGACTTAGGTTACTTTTTAAGTTTTAGAACTCATTTTCCTGATAATTTACTTTCAGTAGCAGGAATGACAATGTTTAATGAGCTAATGGTAGGATAAGCATTTGGGGTAGTATTTTTTTAACATATATATAAGTACTTGTGGAAATACGTAGTTGACTAAAACCACATGTAGCTACAAAAACCACTTTTGTAGTTCAGAGTTAAGAGGTTTTGTGTGAATTTAGCTTATTGCATTAAATTATTGCCCTTAGCTTAAAATAAGGATTAAAATTGCATTTAAAGAGATCACTGAATGCTACTGTTTGTGAAACTGAACTTTTTGATTCTACTTATAAATAGTATCTATAAATCAGTACCTGGGAAAATTTCACTTTCTTAACCTATTGATACAAGAAATAAAGTCTAAAAAATTAAACAGAAAAAAGAGAATGGAATAGGGAATTAGCATAACAAAAATCAGGGTGAAGCAAATCACTATCTGGGTTAATAGCCACAAGATCTTCAATTGATCCTGTGACAGCCATATCAGTTCCACAGAAATTTCTTGCTCTATTGTTCTTATAAATACCATCAAAGATGATGTGACCGAAAAATATTTAAGACTATCAGACTTATTTTCTTCTAAGTATTGAGATTTTTGCAAATTGGTCTTATTTTGTAGAACAATTTAAGAAAAACTGTGTTTTCCTTTGTCTAAGAGTAGAGAACAATTTAGTAAATCTGAAAATTGGTGTTGCTGTTATCTAATAATTTTCATATGTGGTGTGATCTTTCCTTGAGGGATGGTACAGGCAAGCTATTAGTGAAGAAAGTCAAATCAGTGCCACCATTTTCAAGCCTGGATTAGTTACTTAACCTTCCAAAACAAATTTTTCTCATCAATAAAGTGGACATGGTGATAACTGCCCTGTTGTTAGCAGAAGGAATCACAGTTTTCCTAGTTGTGAGGATTCAATGAGATGAGATATGTAATGGCACTGCTAGAGCCCATTACCTAATGGTGTGCATATATCATAGGCTCACCCCCACCTTAATTGAGGAAATTCTCACTCAGGATGCAGAAGAGAGAACACTGGCTTTAGAGTCAACTAACAGGATTCAGTTCCAAATCTCCTTCAAGTTATGTGGGACAGACACTCATTTTTCCACTTCCCCATTTTCATATCTATAAAAACAGGATTACTATTCTGCTCACTTTCAGAGTGGTTGTATGTAGCAAATAGAAAAGATGTGACAATGTATTCATATACTAGAAAGCATTAGGTAAATATAAAGCATCCTTATATCATAACAAAAAGATTTTGTAAGTTAAAATATAACTATGTTGAGAACAATTTAAAAATATCTCAATGTAGTGATTCAATTATACATGACTTAGTCAATTCTTCCTTGAAAGGTACAGGATCACAAACATTGTCAGGGAACTAAACTATACAAGTATTTGATCTGACCAGGAATCTACAATACAGTCTTCTAAGCTAAGGATTAGGTCTTTTGTGAAGACTAATAAACTGTTCTAGGAATCCCAGGCCATTGCTGCCATAAAATGGAAAATTCCCATCATCTGACTAGACTCTACCTGTTCTGAGACAGCCCAGGCCCTTGGGCACTACTAGTTTATCTCAGTCCAAAGAATGACTCACACTTTCCTCAACAGAGACCAAAGAACACAGATGCCCAAGTGAATCCAGACCTGAACTGGTACATGCAGACACCATGGGGAACCCGTTCCATTCATGTGCACATGAAGTTTCTTTTCCCTGGTTCCCAGGGCTTAGAAGATGGGCATTCGGATCCACAGTCATCTTCTTGCCCCCCTCATCTAACCTCTGGCAAGGGATGTTGTTAGCAGAAGGAATCACAGTTTTCCTAGGAACTTTTATTTTCTTGTTTCAACCTAAATTTTTTTCCCCCTCTCAATCCTTCTCACCTCATTAGAAAAAGTTAAGACAGCTCAAGGTTCTTGGGCCCCAATGTACTACCTTTTATAAATGGCTCAGATCAATATGTCATATATCATCTTGGCTTAAATCCCTACCCATTTGCTACACATATCAATCATGTTATGTGCACAACACATAATTGATACACTGAATATTTCCAAATTTGTCCATATGGGGCTAGTAGAAAATATATGTGTGAAACTTGTACCACACACTACCTTATAATATCTCAATCTACAACACCACCATCAACTTAGCTGCTAAAATCTCAAAAGTCCCATAATCCTGTCTTGTTGCTTTAGTCACCATAGGTCCTGCTGGTTTTTCGCCGTTGCTCCTAGGATAAGGTTCAGTGCCCTGCCCATGGTCTATAAGGACATACATGATCTGGTTCTTACCAACCCCTCAAACTTTATCTCATACCATAAACTCCCCGGCAAACTCTATTTAATGTTATGTCTTCCTGTCTGTCTACTCCTGTGGATTAGAGGCTTTCGTGGGGGCATATACCTTGTTTCTCTTCCCATCACTATGCCCCCAGGATGGAGACTAGTGCCTGTCATGAACATCTATCTACAAAGGAAAGACTGGGTACCAATAGCAAGGTTAGGAATATGAGGAAACCATGAATTAAGCAGACTGACTGTAAGATGATTTTAAAGGAGCAGAGTAATTAAAAAATATTGGATGAAAGAAAATGGATTTTGTGGAGGGGAGTGGTTCCCTGTGGATTTATTCCCTCTTCATCTCAATCAAATAGGCTCTGAAACTCCCCTGCTCCTTTCCCTTTCCACACATGACTGGTCACCTGTTCTACCTCTTCTCCCCCTCACCAGGTCACCATGGCTTCATCTCTTACCCACACTCCACAGTCCCCTGAACCAGGTCCTTCCACAGTCTCTTCCCATCTGGTTCATCTTCCCACAGCGTTCACTGATGCCTGAGGGGACTTCTCAAAACCCAACCTTCCCTTTTGGGAAGATGTCCAGGGTCTAGTGGGCAACATCCATATTCACTTTATAAAGCATAGTCCACTCCTCTGAGATGTCCTTGGAGCTCACTTCCTGCACCTCTTTTCCTCATCACGCAGCCATTTTTTTCAGACTCTGCACCATAAAACATCATGATTCCACACCTTTGAATAGACCCCTTCTTCCACTTGGAACGCCCTCCTGGACTAACCCTTCCCTGCTCCCCCAACGGGCAATCTCCTGCTCATTTTCCAGGACCCAGCTCAGGCTCACTTGTCCTCCATGAAGACTGTCCAGTGGTTCTGTCAATGCCTCTTCATGCCTCTAGAGCCTCACCACAGAGTCATAATCACTTGCCCCTGCACCCCTCTCCCGTGGTGAATTCCTCCAGTGTATAAACCATCTCTAATTCCTCTTTCTACTCAGGACAATAAAATGTGCCCATGAAAAGCTCTTTCTGTTCAGGTGCTGCCTGGCTGGATGAAACATAGAAGGAGAAGGGGAAGGAGGAGAGGAACAGAGAGGGAAGCTGGAAAGGAGAGGGGTCGGGAGGTTTTTCCCTTTAAGAAGCCTCTGGCAAGAAAATGCAGAGGATTATCAAAGGCCTGGGTGACACAGAGCTAAAATCCCTGAGGTAGAAGGTCCTGGAAGAGGCCACCAGGCAGATGCAGCTATGCAGGTCCCCACTGTGAGAACTGCCTCAATCTCTGTGAGCCGCTACTCTCAATACCAGGGGGGGGGATGGCGTGTTGATTGTTCAGACCCAGAGAAGGGTGGGTGGGAAGAGAGTCTAGCTAAATAGCATGGTATGGTGAAGGCGAGTTTCTATCCTAATTTATGTTGTTTCAAATTGTACTTTGATATATATTTATCTTTTTTATTGTACATAATCTTTTTTAAAATTAGAGCTTTATAGATATACATAGTGGCTGAGTTCATCCCGATAAACTCACACCTGCATAGAAATTGATTTCAGTCCATGATCCCCCTTTTCCTGTCCCCTCTTTTCCCCTTTCCTCCTCCCCTCTCTCATTCTCCTTCCACTATTAGACTTCCTTTCATTTTATATTTGATTGGTTCTTTCTACCTATGCATAAAGGTGAACTTCCTTATTGTATACTTATATATGCACATAAAATGATTTTTAAGAACTCTTATCCATCCTACCACTCTGCTTCTTGATCCCCTTTTCTACAATACTGATCTTCCCTTTATGTTATCCTATCCTTCCCTCCCCCTTTCCTTTATTTTACTCTAGCTTCTGCATATGAGAGAAATGTTCAACCTTTGAGTTTCTGAGTCTAGCTTTTTGCACTTAGCACGATATTCTCCATTTCCAACCACTTACTGGCAAATGCCATGATTTCATTCTTTTTTTACAGAGGAGTGGATCTCTCTCTCTCTCTCCATGTATATATTTTTATAAATAAATATGTAATGTACA